CCAGAGACTGGCCCTTGAGGGCAACCTGATGCGCTGGCCATGCCAGGGCAGCCCCACCTGGAGCTTAGTAAAAGCTGCTGTTGGGTTAAAAGCTGCTGTTTGGTTAAAAACTGGTGTATGTGTGTCTGTGTGTGTTTGAAGGTCTTCAGATTGGTTCATCCTGCCCTGCCTCCACCCCTGGGGCTGCTTGGAAAACAGGACTCCCAAGGACTCCAGCCTTGGGAGATGGCCCTTCTCCCTTCTCAACTTGATCCAACCCTACAGACAGATCCTTCTGGGGTGCATGTGTAAAGACACAACAGCCCCCAAACCAGACCCTTCAACCAGTGCCCTCCAAGTCTGTTTCCCTGAGAATGAAATCTGTTATTTTTCTGAGTCTTGGGATGTTCAGAGGACCCATGTCCAGACAGGAGGACAAAGAGGAAAGCACTTCCAGATCTTTATATCACAAGGCTCTCACCTTCAGAGAGACTTTTCCCCTTGAGCACCTCTGCTCCAATTTCTCCCTCAAGCTTTACACCAGATCACAGGTGGGGTAGGTGGCAGGAAAGGGAAAGGGCTTCCTTCTATGGTGCTGTAATGCAGAGTCACAAAGTTTGCCCTGTGGGAAAGAATTGGGGCTTTTCAAAGGGCCAGGGAGGCAGTGCCTTCAGGGCACCAAGTAAGATCGTTGGGTAAAGGCCAGGGAAGAAGGAAAGGCCCTACCAAGACCTGGGAAACAGGGCAGCCACTGCCTGAACTCCTTAACTGCATGTCAAACTCAAGAGCGGGTGGGAAGGGGAATTCAGGGTCAAGTGTGCAACAGAAACAGTTCCTTGTTAGGTGGAGTGAGGGCTACTGACGGAGAAACAAGAACAAACCATCGAGTTGTGTGGAGCTGTACCCGCACAGAGCGTGTTACTTTCGCTAGGCTCACCACCATCTGCCTTTCCCGGGGAAGATGGAGGCAAGCACCCGGTGCTGCACTTAGGTGTGCAACACTACTAAGAGGCCCTGTGAATGTGGACTTGGGTTTTACATATGTAACAAGGGATAATGACCCTGAGGAGTATTTATACCCTATGTACAATTTCTCTCAATGTAATGGTTCTAGATGCCAACTAAATGCTAACTATTGTCCAAATCATTTAGTGCAGTCATTCTCAACCTTGCCTCACATCAGAATCACCGGTAGAGCTTATTAAAAAAATACCACTCCCAGGCCTAGATCAGTTAAATCAGAATCTTTGAGGCTAAGTATCAGACACGGTTTTTTTTGTTTTTTTCCCTAAAGCTGCAACCCCACCTCTTCTCTCTCCAGGAGATTCATGGGTAGCCAGGGATGCAAACCACTTGTTCAATTCAAGACACTGGTTTTACAGAAACTGGGGGAGAAGTTGAGCAATGGGCTAAAGGTCACACAGATAGTTCCATGAGCTGGTAAGGCCCTAGATTCCCCTGCAGGGATCGTCCTCCTCTCGGTTGGGGAGGCTGCCCCACCCTTTATTATTGTGCCTAACACAGAAGAAATGAGCAGGGAATTTTTGTTTGTTTTGCGGGAGTCGTGGAGGAGTGAAGCGCCAAGTCCTGAACAAATTAGATGCAGAAGTGCCCGGCGAGGCCGCGACAGAGCAGCGGGAAGCACCCTGACACCAGGCCTCTCTAGGCTCGCAGAACCATGATCCCTGGGCCAGGGCCTCCCTCCGTCTCTGAGAGACCTCTGACATCTGCCCTGCCGAGACTCTCTGAGCCGCAGAGCGGATGAAGGACCCCTACAGCCCAGAGCCTTGGTTTTTCAGGGCTCTAGGGACGCGAGCCACACGTCCCTCCCACGAACCTACTCTAGGCTGGGACTGCAAGACGAAAATTTTCTGAGCAGCCCCGGCCCCTGCCATTGGTTTCAGCCTTTGGTCACCTGACTTAATTGAGCCAATGAAAGGTGAGAAAATTAATACTTCCGCTTTCCCTGAGGCGAAAGAGCCACTGTGCCCGCCTTTCGGATGCTATGATTGGTCACCCTCCCTCAACTCGCCAGTTTATTGGCCAGCACCGCGAGGCTGTGGTGCAGCGGGGTTTGAGGGCAGTGTCAGGCCCGCTGCCATGGCGTCTTATTTCGATGAACACGACTGCGAGCCGTTGCACTCCGAGCAGGATGCCCGGACCAACATGCTGCTGGAGCTCGCCAGGTGGGTGCGCGGGGCTGGGAGGTAGGGCTCACGCAGCAGGTTACTGGGCTGAAGCTGGCTGGAGAAGGCGGATTATCTGGGGCAGTAGATTCAGAGGAGGACGGATAAATAATCTGGAGAGTTAGTTCCACAGTGAGATTCGGGGGAAGTCGATCATTTGGATCGTCCTTGGAGGGGCCCGGGCAAGGGGGTTCTGGAAAAGACGAGCTGGCGAGTCGGGGGAGTCGGGGCCGCAGGGCAGTGGGGCTCTAGGAGATTCTGGAATAGGCGGGTCATGGGGGCGGGGTAGGGGCCGTGTGGCTGTGAGTGGGCATATTCGTTAGGAACTCCAAGCATGGAAGCCACACTGCCACTTGGAATCTGGCTTTACCAGGTCATTCCTGCGTGGCCTGGGTAACTTCTCTGAGCTGTTGTCTCATGTGTAAAATGGGAATAAACAGCCTGCGTGCTTGGGGTTGTCTGATGGCAGCTGTAAGCCATTTCCCGCTGTGCTTTTTACGTAATGAGCACTACTGAGGGGTAGCTATTAGTACTAGTAGCTGGGCAGAGTACTTATCTGTTAATGCTTAGTGGACTGCGGGGGCAATGAGAAAGTATGGGTTTTTTTGTTTTTTGTGTTTTGGCTATGCTGGGTCTTCGTTGCTTCACACGGGCTTTCTCTAGTTGTAGCGAGCGTGGGCTACTCTTCGTTGCGGTGCGCGGGCTTCTCATTGCGGTGGCGTCTCTTGTTGCAGAGCATGGGCTCTAGGCGCAAGGGCTTCAGTAGTTGCAGCACGCGGGCTCAGTAGTTGCGGCACGTGCGCTTACTAGTTGCAGCACGCGGGCTCTAGAGCGCACAGCCTTCAGTAGTTGTGGCACACAGGCTCAGTAGTTGCAGCTCGTGGGCTCTAGAGCGCGGGCTCAGTAGTTGTGGTGCACGGGCTTAGTTCCCCTTCAGCATGTGGGATCTTCCTGGACCAGGGATCAAACCCGTGTCCCCTGCATTGGCAGGTGGATTCTTAACCACTGGACCACCAGGGAAGCCCCAAAAGTATGATTTTTCTTTGGTTCTGACTTTGGATTCTTCTTCCCAGGTCCCTTTTCAATAGGATGGACTTTGAAGACTTGGGGTTGGTAGTAGATTGGGATCACCACCTGCCTCCACCTGCTGCCAAGACTGCAGTTGAGAACCTCCCCAGGACAGTCATCAGGGGCTCTCAGGCTGGTGAGAACACTAATTCTTTCCACTATTTGGGTCAGGTCTGCCAGACCCACCCCCTCTGGAAGCCAGACTATGGTCTGGCCCTTCAGTTTTCCAGGCCAGGTTGGGGCAAGAAGTGTCCTTCAGGAATGGGAGCTGGGAGGTAGGGCCTATAGCAGCTCTCCTGATTAGCACTCCCTCCTCAAGAGCTCAAGTGCCCCGTGTGTCTTTTGGAATTTGAGGAGGAGGAGACTGCCATTGAGATGCCTTGCCATCACCTCTTCCACTCCAACTGCATTCTGCCCTGGCTGAGCAAGGTACTGCTTCCTTTTTCCCAGCCCTCACCCTGCCCTGGGCCCAGTTCTCAAGCCGCTTTCTGTTTATGGACTACTGGGGGGATCAGAGACGGGAGAGGGATAGGGGTGGGATTTGGGAGCTGGAGACGGTTTTTAGCTTATCAAGACCAGACCTGGGCTCGTACACTGCACTGCTTTTCCCAGACAAATTCCTGCCCCCTGTGCCGCCACGAGCTGCCCACTGATGATGACACTTATGAGGAGTATAGACGAGATAAGGTAGGGGGCTGGGTAAGTGGAGTGGGTGGTGACGGGGCTCCCTGAGTCCGTCCTTGATGCTCTCGTTCCCCACCTCAGCAAGCCTGAGTAGGCCTCATGGTCCCTGACTCTGGCGGCCTTCCCAGTGATTTTAGTGAGGGGCAAGAGCCTTGGCATCGCAGGTGCCCAGGGCCTGAGAACAGTGAGCCAGTCCCACGGTGGCTGCCCTGTCCCTTCACCCACAGGCCTCGGGGTACGGCCCCTGCCCAGTGCACCCTCTTTCCTTCAGGCTCGCAAGCAGCAGCAGAAGCACCGACTCGAGAACCTCCATGGAGCCATGTACACATGAGGTGGCTGGGACGGCACACCAGTCCTCCTCCACAACACCTTCCTCGTCTGCCTCGGATTCTCATTAAAAGTTTCTTTACCCGTCCTGCCGCTCCATTGCTCACAGGCCTGGGCAGGGACTCTGTACCCTCCAGTGGGTCTCTACTGCTATGGGGGAAGGTGGTCCTGAACCGTAGAAGGTACCAGGCTGCCAAGCCTGCTGGCCTCAGGGCAGGAGGGCCCAGGTCAAGCACTTGGCCACCGACCAGACCAGCCAGGGCTTCGGCCTCTGTGTCTGCGGTTGGAAAGCAAAATGTGTCAGGGTCTGGCAGCCAGTAGTTACTTAAAAACGGTCAAGAAAAACTAGCCCATCTCTCTCCCTCCCCCTGCAATCTTTAGTCAACCTTAGAATCCCAGGGGCTTTCTTTAGCGTCACTGCAAAGACTGCTTCTAACAAACATTTCCAAGTTATTCTCTGTATCCTCCCTTCCTCCTATCCCTTAGTGTGGAATCAAGCTTCAAACCAGACTCTGAGCAGGACAGGAAGTGTGAAAGGATGGAGTCGGCTCTTTAGACTGTTGAAAGGCCCAGAAAGGGCTTCAAGCCCTTGCGGGGTATTTGGATAGCACTTGGCATCCCTCGTTTTTGGCAGTCCTGCTCTCAAAGAGCAGCGGGCACTCAGGACCCTCCCTGGAGGCAGAGGCTTTCTCCCATCCTTTGCCTAGGGAAAGCCAAGATCAGGCCCTCTCGACTCTCCAGAACAGACTACAGACATGCAAATTAGAATTCTTTTAATAGATATATATATAAAAAAAAGTACTAAAATACCCACGTGGTTCTGCTGTGTTATTTGCCCTAAAGAAAGGGACAGTGAAGAATCCCAGTGCAGCTCAGTGGGCCCAGAAGTGGGCCTTCCCACAGACTGAGGAGTGCTCACCCCCGCCCCCAGACTGCTGTCCCTCTTGCTGTTCCCAGCCCCCAATTCCTGCAGCAGGAAACCCCAGTGGCACTGGGGGAGTAGAAGGCACCTGAAGGGCTGGCTGGGTGAATGAGGATACGTGACCTTTAAAACATAAAAATAACACTGCGGTGTGGGGAGCAGGCTGTGCGCAGCTTGGGCAGCCGCCAGGGCCCGCTCCTGTATGGCACAGGTGGGTGTGGGATGGCCACTCCTCCAGGAGCGAGGAAGCCTCTGTCCCAACAGAATACTTTCTCAAAATTGTTTTTTGGTACAAAATAAATGTGAAGGAGATAACGGGGTGGGGAGCTGCGGAGGCCGGGCCAGCCACCCTCCCCAGACCTCAGATCATGGCGACGCTCTCAGGGGCACAGTTGAGGTGTGTGGAGGTGCTGCTGCTTCCGGACGACTTGCAGGCCCGGCCGGGGGCGGGCTGCAGTGTGGCCACCAGTGTCTCTGAGGAGACTGCCCCGAACTCATAGCTGAAGGTGCCGTAGAAGATGAGGATGTCGATGACAAACACCCACTCGCATAGGGCTGCCCCGTGCTGCAGCTGAGAGCTCTCGTGGATGAAGAAGACCCCGCCTGGGATGGGGCTAAGGAAATGTTCAGTGGGATAGGCGGCAGCCTGGCGACACCCTTTCTGCCTTCCCGGATATGCGGCTAGGCTGGGGCCGAGGAGCAGGCCTCACCTCCCGGGAGAGGGGGGCAGAAGACCACCCTGGGTGGGGGCGGATCCCCATCTTGGGTGGGAGAGGGCCTGGGCTACAGGAGGAGCTCCTGGCCGCCCTGTCCTGGAAGGATACTGAGGATCAGAGAGACAAAGGCGATGGCTGCCAGCACGATCCGCAGGTAGGCCACAGCCAGGTCGTGGGGGGCAGTGGCCCCGTGGTAGGAGAGGGCACAGTGCAGGCAGACAAAGAGCAGCCCGGCAGTGAAGGCCACGCCGGTTCCGACGTAGTGCAGAGACTTAGCGTGATCCACCTGGGCCCGGAGAGAGGGGCCGACCCGTGATGCAGCCCCCTCCACCCCGCTCCGGCCCTCCCTCCCGGGCTTTTCCCCTCCCGGGCCCTGTTCTTCCCACCCCCAACCCTGAGGGGCAGACCCGCAGCTTGGGTCAACCCTCGGGAAACTGAGGGCCCCTGCCGAAAGCCTGGCCCCCTTCGGGAAGTGCAAGAGGTGGGCGGGCGGGCGCACCTGGAAGTTGCCCACCACCACCAGGCCCGCAGCGTTGGTGCAGCCTGTGATGAGCGTCGTGGTGTTGACCCAGGAATGACGGCTCTGCTCCAGGAGCTGCCCGTAGCGCAGGAGGCAGATCAGGGCCACTGGGGGAGGAGAGCACAGGTGGGGCCGGCTCTGGCCCTGGCCCAGTCCAGCGAGCCCACCAGCTTTCCCCAGATACTCTGAGGGCAGGAAGGGAACGGACAGGCGGGTGGTGTGCCCTACCAGCGTGGCCGTGTGCAAGTTAGCCTTGGGCCTTCAAGGAACGGAAGAGAAGTGGCCCCGCTGGCCTTAGCTCATGGCGGGGTAGGCGGCGCGAGGCCAGGGCTTCCTGGGCCTCTTTGGGGAGCAGGTGTGAGGGCGGGCAGGACTGAGCGGGTTGGTGGTCGGGCCGAGGGCACAACTCACCCATGAAAGCACCCACGTTGCCAATGAGGCTGAAGAGGCAGCTCTCTGGGGGGTATGTGCCGCACTTGCTGAGAGGAGGGGGCGAGGACAGAGTGAGGGGGGGGCAGGAGCACCGGAAGGCCCCGTTCTGGCCCGCCTGCTCTCCTTTGCCTTATCTGTGCCTGTTCCTTGGCAGGCAAGCCCGACTGATGAGAAGGGCCAGGGTCCCTCACAAACATTTGGCCCTAGGCTGGCCGCACCTCCCCCCAAGGCAGAGCTGGTGTGCGTGCTGGGGTAGGCAGTGCCCAGGATTGCTCGGCAGACCCCGAGGCTCTTGGACTCCCTGAGACCGTCAAGGCCTGCAGGGGGTCTGGCTTCCCTTAAGCCAGAACTTGGGCTGGGCAAACGGAGAGCTTGAACTTAAATCCAGGTGCCTACACTTACTAGCTGAGGGACCTGGATGGATGACATAGCTCTGTCTCACTTTCCTTGCCTATAAAATGGTGAAAACAACAGCTGCCTTAGTGCTAGGAGAATTAAATGCCGCTACGCATGTAAAGCATTCAGCACAGGGTCCGGTACATAGTAATTGGTAAGTAATATTGTAATTAAGTGCTCTTAATGGAATTATTATTCCTGAGACCCAAGGGCAGGCCTTTGCTGGGGGGGGCTTAGTTGGGAGTCTAGCAGGGCCTTGGGTCTCTGTGACCTGCGCGGTTTCTAGGCCTTACCTGATGAGGGGGACATCGTCCAGGGTGCAGCAGGTCTTGGGGCCCCCTTGCTCAGTGGGGTCAGGAGAGCAGGATTCGTTGTAGGACCTGGCAGGCAGGACAGAGAGTAGCCTGGGGGAAAGGGGTTCCCCCAGGCCCTCGGCCTGTACCCTCAGGCCTCTCGGAGACCACCCTCCCAGACCTCCCTTGGCAGGGGCAGAAGAGCCCACTTCCCAGGGCCCCCCTGAGACAGAAGCCAAAGGGGCGAATGACGGTGGGAAGCAGGTAGGTGGGCACGAAGCCATGCCTGGGGAGGGGCAGGCGCTGCCAATGTCAGAGAAGAGCAGTGAGGCCCAGTGTCTCCATCTGGCTCGAGGGAGCCCCGGCCCCACAGGGAACAGAGATGAAGGGAGCTTTAGAGTGAGGCTGTCTGCAGAGTGCGCCATACCAGTTCTCCACGGGGCACACGTGGTGGTTCATCACGGCCATGGCATACCTGCGGGAGCACAACTGTCACCCTGCCCCATGATGCACCCAGCCTTCTCCCACTGACTCTTTTCCTTTGATTCTGCCCCCATTCAGCCTTATTGTCCTTTCCGGGGACTCAACCTGGGGTGGCCCTGGGGCTTGATGCTACTCTAGAACCCACAGCCTAGTCCCAAACTAGAGGACCTCTGGAAGTTGCCCTGGTTAGAAGTGTGTCTGTCAGGGCCACCCTGCTGGACAGCAGTGGTGCCAGCTTGTCCCAAGGGGCTGTGTGCCCAGGCACCAGGCCAGGCTTTGCAGACAGCCAGAGTGGCCCTGGGTACCACCCTGGAGCCTGCAACAGGACAAGGGACTTTGTGTGTGCCATCAGGCTCCTGTTGGGTCCTGTCCCTCCTCAGCCGGGGTCCATTTTGTCCCCTAGTTGCCTCCCCCCATCCCCCTCTTTACTCACACAGTCCATAGGCCAGTGATGGAGAATGCTGACAGGCTGACAGGAAGGAGGATCCAGGCGGTCATGAGGGTGGGGAGCCAGGGTGGTGGTGGTGTGGGGGGAGGACAAGAGGTAGGTGGGGAAGAGGGTGTGGACCCAGCTACCTTAAGGTACTTCGCCAAAACCATCAGCTGCCCGGGCCTGGTGGAGAGAGACAGGTCAAAGTCCAGGGTCTAGTGACTGGCCAAAGCCGGTGCGGGGGAGAGGAAGGTGGTCAACACCAGATGCAGGGCTCCCGCTGCGGCTCTGAGCGCCCACACTTCGGGCTGAGCCCCCGCCGCAACGTGGACACCCTCCGGCAGCCACCGGGGGCCTCCGCGTTCCACCAAGATGTTCAGAAACGCCGCGGGGCCCTAACATCTGGAAAGGGGGCCACTCTCCCTGGCCTGAGGGTCCCGGGCTGGGAGAGGGGCTGGAGTCAGGACAGTCCAGGGGGCCACGCCAAGGAAAGCCTGGGAGGGGATCCGGGGCTGGGTGGAGAGGCGGCCGGGGGCAGGCAGCCACCTGACCACCAGCGCCGCGGGGAAGGGGCGGGTTCACGCGGGAAGCTCAGCCCGGCCCGCTCCCGCCCGCGTGGGCGCCCGGAGCCCACGGTCCGCTAGGCCCCGGGATCCGGGGACCCGCGCCTCCGCAGGTCCGGGGGACGAAGGGGCCCAGTACGCACCTCCCCGGAGCGCCCCGCCGCCGCCGCCACTGCGTCTGCTCGGCCCCCGCGTGGCGCCGTCCCCGGCTGCGGCCCTCGGAGCTGCCCTGAATGGTTTAAAGGGCCGAGCAGCCCCTCCCCCGGCGCCCCGGACCGAGCCGCGCCGCCCGCCGGGACGTGGAGTCCGCGCCGCCCCAGCCCTGGCGCTCGCGCCCAGCCGGGAACTACAACTCCCGAGCCCCCGCGCCCGCGTCACGCTGGAAGGGTGGGCGGTGCCCCGACTTCTGGGGACCTGGACGCCGAGGGCGGTGGCCTGGGACCCCAGCGGAGGCTCTGACACCGATGCGAAAAGGATAGTCCCGTCTACCTGCACCTGCGGGGGAAGCTTCGGGAGGCGGGGAGCTCCGGGTGTGCACTGCCTTCCCGCTGCACGTGTGATTGTCACCGCGCACGTGGCTGGAGGAATCCTCCCTCAGCCGCCGCGCACATTTTGCAGCCTGGACTGGCCGACAGTGACTTCGGGCAGCCTCCCTCCATGTGGCACCCCGTGCCTGCCGCTGTCCAAGGCGAGGTGGGTCTGCAGAGAAGCAAGCACAAAGCCTTGGCTGTTCCTTAGGAAACCAGCGCTCTGGATTTGGCTTTTGCTTCCCTCGGCTCAGCAAACTCTGGAGGAGGGCTACTTTCATCAGATACATTTTATTTTCCGGGGTACTAGTACACAGTGTACTGTCCAGAAGTCAGTGTCCAAAATGTGTTTCCTGACTGCTGAACACTCACTTGAAACAATATCCATTCTAAGTAGACACACTTGGCCAGGTGTTGGGAGGCAAAGGAGAGGAGAGGAAGGCAGGAGACCCAGAGCAATCTGGGAAAAAGCAAACAACTGTGAGGATAAATTACCCAACAGCTTCACCAAAATTTATGTTGAATGAAAAAAATGCACAACCTAAAAGTTGAGAATTGTTTTATTCGGTAGACTTTCTGAGGACTCAAGCCCTGGAGGAAGCCTCTCGGATACCTCTGAGGGACTGCTCCAAAGAAGCAGGGGAGAAGCCAGGATGGGAGTTTTTGCAAAACCCAGGTATTTGTAATATCAAAAGCTTACTGTTAATTAAAGACCAGTAAACAGACACCTCAAGTTAAAGAATTAGCGCTTTTCTATGTATGGGAAGATACAAGAGTCTGGGCTCATTGAAATCATTCCTTTGATATGCACCTTAACTATCTACGCCAGTATCCTGCTTTTCTCCACCCTGAATCCCCTCAGGGTGCACAGCAGGGGATGGCCGCAGGCTTGATGGTCACATCTTTTTTCCTGACATGGCAGGAGACATTCTTCGTCCACACTTAACAGGCCAAGGGTGCCCTCCTAGACATTCTTTTCATGATTAAAAGAGCAGGAGATCTTCCTTTCACACACTGGAAGTGTAACTGGCACTCTAAACGGCAGCCCAGCATATCTGTTGGAGCCCTTGTGAGACAACACTGGGGCTGACAGACCTTTACTTGAAGGGAGCATGGGCCCAGGCTGCTGGGAACCAGGGAGCTTAAGTTCGGCAGCACTGGTGAAGCAAATGTAATAGGCAGAAACAGGGCCCTGTACCATGGGGGAAATGGAGAAGATAAACTGGACAACAGCTTGAGGAAGGAGAAACCTTTCTGGACCTAGTGGAAGGTAAAAACGCAAACAGGAAACCTGTGGGAGGGCCCTCTTCCAAACTGCATCAGCACAAGCAGTTAAATCAGGGTCAAAAAGTATGGCAGTGCACAGCGATCACCGTCCAAGAAACCTGGCTGAAGGACCGGGGGGTGGAAAATCCAGTCCGTCTGCTGGCCATGCTGTGCCCCAGGACAAGGGAGTGCCCCTTTCTAATTTACCAAGAAGCACCAGCTTCCTGCCCAGGGGTGTCGTCCTTGGAGCAGACACCTTTTTCTCATCTGCCCAATGGTGCCCTGAACGCTCAGCATTTCCTACTGCTTTGGAAGCTTTGCAATTTAAAAAATATATATATTTTCTTTTTTTGATGTGGCCCATTTGTAAAGTCTTTATTGAATTTGTTACAATATTGCTTCTGTTTTTTATGCTTTGGTTTTTTGGCGGGGAAGCATGTGGGAGCTTAGATCCCTGACCAGGAATGGAACCTGCACCCCCTGCATTGGAAGGCGAAGTCTTAACCACTGGACCACCAGAGAAGGCCCCTGGACGCTTTGCAATTCTTAATCAACATTTACTATCACCTGTTGAGCTGGGTTTCAGTTCCTCTCCCACCACGATCATGGGGAAGGCCTGAGAAGACTACTCAGGTTCTAAACTGGCCGTTCTATCCTAAAGTAGGGGTAAGGCAAGCACCCCAGAGCCTTGACAAGGAGGCAGATTTGGGTTTAACGTGACAATCGGAGTCATCCCTAAAACAGAGAATTAGCCCAAGAGAGAAGGGCTCTTCATGGGTAGTCGGTAGGGAGGAGTTGCGTATCAGGTAAAAAGTAGGACCAGATGTCTTTAAAAGGCCTTTCCAGCTCTAATGCCACGTGAGTCTACTTGTTATGCTCCAACCAGGACAGTTCTTAAAATAGGCAGAACAAGAGATGAGATTTCAAGTGCTGATTCTGCGCTGCTGAATGACTTTAGGGCAGCATGTAATCTTCATTTCCTTATGTACACAAGTGATTTCACAACTCTTGGCAAAAACAGTGCTATAAAAATAGTAAGTTTATTGGCTGAAAAAAATACTGTATTTGAAAAGTACCTTCCTTCCAGGATTTTCAAATAATTTCCATGTCACTTTATTCATCCAAACGCGGAAACGAAATGAGAAAAGAGAAGAATGTATAGCTTTTTACACACTTAACACGACACAGCCAGTGCAACCAGTCTCATTCTGGTGGCTCTGGGAAGGCAGAGGGGCCATTCACTCTCTTCCCTTCTGGCATCACTCCACCTCCTGGGGAAATCTGGGGTGGCTTGGTCATTTGATTCCTCAGGGACAGGAGTTCAAGGAGGGAGCTTAAAACGTTTCAGATAATTGTCACCATTCCATGGTTCTTCTTCCCAAAGGCGGCTCAGAGGTAGGAAAGTAATCTGTCCTTAGTTTTCTTTCTATATGCCCCATTTATATTTGTGACCAGCTGGGGGATCCCTACCTTACCATCCACAGATCCTGTCAGATGCACAGCAAACTGGATACCCCCCACCCCAAAGGGTTTCTTCCAGTTTCGTGGGCTAATCTCTAGACGGCAGTGCCCCTCAGAGTGGAACAATGGAGACGGAATGTCCCTTTCAGACGCTCATCCACAGGGAGAAGCATTTTTTTTGGCCACGTCGTGAGGCATGTGGGATCTTAGTTCCCCGACCAGCAATCGAACCTGCGTCCCCTGCATTGGAAGCGCAGAGTCTTAACCACTGGACTGCCAGCGAAGTCCAGGAACAAGCATTTCTTATTGCCCACGTTGGTCCTACCGGCTGGCCGGGCTCCTACTCTCACTCAGTACAAAAAGCTTTGCATTCTCCTTTTCCCTTCTTGCGTTACCTTCTTCAAAGACTTCCACACTTGCCAGCTGGCTGGAACTCAAGCTTTAGTGTTTACTCCCGCACAGCCCAAAGCCCCTGGAGGCCCCAGCTTCCTTCTATTAGTAATCACCCACTGTGGCCCAGGAAACACAAAGCCTTAAAATCCAAGGCTTAGCCTTAGTAAGTGAAGATCACTTCATTTTGGATGAACGTCAGATATGCTTGTCAGGCTACAAGACTGTGTTTTTTAAGGCGGCTGAGAATATATCTAGTTAAATGAGTGTTGATTCTGAAGCAGTCTGCCGGAAAGCCCCAGCTAGTCTAATGCTGTTGCCACCGCACCAAACAGCACAGGACAGTCCTCTTTGGGACATCTCTAGAGCCTCTGGGAAATGCTCTGGAACATGCTCCTTGATGGCAAAGCACTGATATTTGAAAACAGCTAGAAGACATCGAGAGGCAAGTCCGGTAACCATACTGGATAGTACTACCTTGGACTGGGATGAGGTGTGGCAGAAGCAACGAGCGAAGCTGTAAGGCTGTCAGTGGGCTGAGGGCCATCACCAGAGAAGCATCTCAGGCACACCTGCAGTGATGACACCATCACCACCAACAGGCCTGCTCTGAAGAACAATGCCTCATTTAAGTACCAGGCATAGCGCTTTATATAGTCTCGTGGCACAAATTAGCTACAAATTAGAATGTTTTCTTGAGTGGAAAATATTTGATATGCACTTGATATAAAGCAAAGGGCCTCAAGAAAACGCTTGCAAGCAAGATATTACCATCATTCTCTTACCTGAGAGTGTTAGAATTACACGATAAACACACAGAAGGACAGGATAGGTACACAATTCTCACAGGAAGGGAGGCTAAAATTTCAGGTGCCATGCCCCCAACCTCCTCTTCTGGACTTGTTTCTAAATTCTATAATAAATCCAGGAAACGGGCCATCCAGCCGTGAGAAGACGAACCTCAAAATATTTCCAGACTAGGAAGCCTAAAAGTTCCAGTGAAATCCTATGTCCAAGTCAGAAGATCAGCTGAAGAGCTGGAAGACTAAAATGACTGGCGCTGAGCTGCAGGAAGATTGGGGATAGAACATGGCATAGTCTCCTCGACCTGGGAGGCTCTGGAGGGTAGTTAACGTTAAAAGTCAAAAGGCACTTGCAGCCTGGCTGAATGAGGACAGACTTTCTCCTTCGAAAGCAGAACTGAGCCCAGGACTGGCAAGTTTAAGGCATTTAACCTTGGGCCAGCCCTGGGGCTCGAGAGCGAGCTGGTCCCTGGCTGCCTTCACAACCAGGTCCTTCTAATTTACCCACCTCACTCACCTTCCCCGCGAGCTGCGACTTGCTGCATTTTAACGATGGAGTCGAAGTAGCTGCCTTGCCCCATTTCAGAGGGGGTAGATTTGCAGGGGTGTATAGGGCATGAACCAGAAGTGCTCTCAGGTGTCCTTTAAGAGAAAAGCTGCTGAGAGGGACCAGCCAGACTGATCTTGAGACCCTGATGAGGAAAGACCTGTGGGGCAGGGGGCTTTGGTTTGAAGAAGTCTCAGTGCTCACGGGCTCACTTAAACCCCATACTTCAAGTCACTGAGGTTAGGCCCATTTGCTGGAAAACTGAAGTGGCTTGGAACTGCAGTGCGTGGGATCGCTTGTGGATTTCTCAGACTGTAGCCCAACCCTGCATTAGGAAAAATGTTCACTTAGGTGAAAGCAGTGATATTCCTGGGATCTTTATTCTCAGGATCTACTGGGAGTTTTATATACTCTATACTCCTGGGAGGTAGGAAAGGAGAAAGCACAGAACAGGGGAAGGGCAGATGAAGGAGGTTTGTTTCGCTCCCTCTAGGGCTCTCTTCAGGCTTTTTTTTTTTTTTTTCTTTTTCCCAACTAGGGCTTGAAACAGACAATTATTGCTAATGTTGAATTTCCCTTTGTATGTACATTCAAGGCTGTTAAATCACATTTGGAAACGCGGTTTCAGGCTTGTTTTGATAATTCCCTTTTAGCCTGAACAGAGGATGGTCTGTTCACAGCTAGGGATGATGCTGGAAGCTGGAATTCTGTAGTCCGAACCCTGGCAGGTTTTGCTGCAAGAAATCCTCACAGTTTAATCCTGGCATCATCTTTCTAGATCTCCTTACCTAGACTGTGTGAAGCGGTGGAGCATGGGAGAAACCTGCAAAAACCACGGAAGGGGAGGAAGACATCCTCACAAGTAGGCGTCAAAGAAGATCATCTCCCTCGACTGGTATCAGAATTACTGGGAGAGCCTGTCAGGAAGGTAGACACCAGTACCCCATCTCCAAAGTCCTGAGCATCCGTAGCTGAGCAGTCACACTGGGAGGTGGGGGGCGGGGTGGAACTGATGGATTGGGAGACAAAAAAGATGAAGGAAAGAAAAGAACAAAGAAACAGAGCTGAAAAGATGATCTAGGAAAGCACGGATGGAAGTGAACAGAAACACAGAAGAAAGGAACCATAAAATAACAAACGGGGCTTATGGAGCAGCGTGGTCAGATGCCCTGGGGCATGTGACCTTGGTGAGAAAGCAGCACGTTGGCAGAAGGTCTCATAAGCCTCATCTCTCCCCGGAATCTTTGCTTCCAGAACACCAAGCTAACCAAACAAAATTCTCAAAAACGTCCAGAACATTAGGCTGGTCAAATGAGCCAATATACGAGAAAGAATGGCTACAAGGGAGGTGGCCAGGCGTAGTCCCTGTGACACCCTTTTCCTGTGGATGTGGCAGCTCTGGGGTGGGGGGGGGGGGCTGGTCCTCAAGATCAGCTCAGACTGGTCCTGGCACCCCCAAACTAGGGGCGGCTCCCTGGACAGCGACTCCAGTCTGGTCAGTGTCGGTTCTGGCGCTTTGCAATCTCCTCCTGGATGCGCAACTTGAGGGCCTCTCGCATGGGTGGCTCCAGAGGCGTGTGTGCTGACACCTCCTCGCTCACCCTTCCTGGATCATCATCCTACGTGGAGGAAGGGTCGGGAAGCTCAGGGCCTGGCCTCTTCTGAAAAGGCGACCTGCCCTGTCCCTAGACAACACTCTCAGAGAACTCTGTTTGACTCACAACTTCTTGCCAATGCCTGTCATTTCCCAGGTGTCCCCTGTAATAGTGACTCTCAACTGGGGGCCATGAGCCCTCCCTGTTGCCCGCTGAGAATCACTGTGTGACGGGAGTGACTTGTGCTCAAAAGCATCACCCAGCAGTCTGTGCTCTCATGTGGAACAAACACTTCCCACTGGCCCTGAGGAAAACAGTGGCTCCAGGTCCGGCAGTGATTTCCATCACGGCCCAGGACCTTCAGGCTGCAGCTGTTTCCATCGGGCGTACCTGATACACGATAACTGAAGTGACGTCTCCGCTGTCCGCCTCATATTCTAAGCAGAAGAGCTGATGGCCAGGGAGCTCTGGCTCAGAGCTGCCACTACTGCTGCTTTCACCAGACTCCTCACAGCCTGGGTTGCTTGGGTGGGTAGAGCCATCTGGAAGGATGAACCAGAGTGAGAGGGAAGGGAGGAAGGCTGCTGGAACCCCTGCCCAGAGATGATACAGGAAAACATATTGTAAAGCCCCAATCTTCTCATGGACCCAGAATGTACCCCTGTGTGTGTGTGTGTGTGTGTGTGTGTGTGTGTGTGTGTGAAATCAGCCGCCTATCAGGAATTTTATTCACCTTTGTATCCCTGCCCCAAGACCAGCACAGTCCTACCACGCAGTCGGTATACAGTGCACATCTGTCTACACGGTTGTAAGGTAGTGGAGAGGTGAATAGGGCTCTGCCTGGGTTCAGATTCAGGCTCTGCCATTTACTTCTCTGATATCTCCAACAAGTTACGAAACCTCTCTCTGCCTGTTTCCCTGACTGTGAATCAGAAATGATAATAGTTCCCATCTTACCGGGTCCTCTGAAAGCTAAATGAATGACTGCACATAACCTCTAAAAACACTCATAAGAAAAGCTCAAAAAATTTAGCATCGTACATTAACTATTGTAAACTCTAGATCACAAGTAAGCTGGAGAAAAAAACCCATTAACTGGGTTTGGGCTTCATTCCACAATTATGTCCTCATCGCCTAGAGCTGTGCCAAACTTTTTTCCTGTTAGCTGGTGGGAGTGCGAAAATATAGTACGCTGGGGGCAAACCGGCGGACAACTTGCCGACTCTCAGGGACGTCCGGTAATAGTGATGCTTAACTGCGGGCCTTGAGCCCTCCCTGTGCTGCGGGCAGAATCACTGAGCGGCGATTGGGGAGCGTCGAGATAGACGTTGGAGATGAAATGAGCCTTGGGAGGTAGGACATAGTTTTTTCCCAGACAGAAAAGAAGAGCGCGTGGAGGCAGAGGGCCCGGGGGCAGAAGAGCGCGCGGGGCGGGCGGCCTCACCTCGATGTCGCGGCAGGTACACCTGCAGGTCGGGCTTTCGGGGCCGAGTGGGCGCGGGCGTGTGCCGCCTCCTCGCCTTCTCCTTGGCCGCCTGCTTCACCTTCTTGTCGTAGTCGTCCCTGCGGGGAGCCGAGCGGGAGTCAGGGACGGCCAAGCCAGGCCAGGCTGGGACTGGCAGCCGTGGCGCGGGGCGGGGCGGTACCGGGCGAGCTGGTTCCGTCGGATGTGGTGCACGAAGCCGTGGCTCATGTCCAGCCGCCCGCCAGGCTTGCAGCAGAGACCGGGTCCGGGCCCCGGCGCCGCTTCCATCTGGAGACCCTGTGCGCGGAGCCGCCGCCACCGCCGCCGCCGCCGCCGCCGCCTCCTCCTCAACGGCCCCAACTGCCACCCTCCTGCCCCGAGAGCTCCGCGCCCCTCCTCGCTCGACTTTCGACCCTGCGCCCTGACGTCGGTCGGGAAATGGCCAGCCGGGCCGAATGTCCCAGCGCGCGGAGTTCCTGGAGTGGGCGGGGCGGGGGGCAATGGGGCATGCGCAACTTCCACTCCGGGGCGGGGCTTTTCTTTCGTTGTGACCTTATCAGTAGGAAACCAGGATTTAGGTTTAGTGCTGCTACATCAGAAAATCCAGAAAAACACAAAGCACCCATCATACCACTCAGCGTTCGGTGTGGAGCCTTCCCGTCCTTCTTCCTGTGCTTGGATGCTGTGAAACTCCATCACCAGCTGCGTGACCTTGGCTGACTGTTGCACCCCGCTGTGTCTCAGTTTACTCATTTGTAAATGAGGGCACTGATATCACCTACCTCCAAAGAGGTCGTGAGGAGGCGAGTGCCAGGGCAGGGCACACAGCGGCGCCCCGGCCGCCCAGCCCAGCCCGCGCCCGCCCGGGGCTCCGCGCCGCCGCCGGCGGGGACGCTCCTTCCAGCCAGCGCAGCACCAGAGCTCTGCGGACTTTCCCGCTACCCAGCTCGTTTGGGCGCCCACCGGACCGATGTCTTAACTCTCGGCGTGGGAGGACCCAGGGCCTTTCAGGCGTCTGAGACTGTGCCATTTTTGAATCCTCTTTAAAAAGAGATAAAAGTAGGAATCCGTAATTAGAACAGGGACAGACTGGTACATCCGCACAGTGGGATGCCGCTGAGCAATCAAAAGGAACGAGCACTCAACAACTTGGATGAATCTCAAAACAAACACGCCGAGTGAAAGAAGCCGGGGATAAGAAGAGGACTCTCTGGGTGCTTCTATTTATATAAGACTCTAACAAGTGACACTGATCTCTAGCGACAGAAAGCAGATCAATGGTCGGGGCAGGGGAACACTTGGTGGATGGTGGTTAGGTTCATTATCTTGATCGTGGTGGTGGTTTCAGAGTGTATACATACCTCTATCAGTATTCAGCAAATTGCACACTTTAAACGTGAATTTTTTTTTTTTTTTTTTTCCGGTACGCAGGCCTCTCACCGTTGCGGCCTCTCCCGTTGCGGAGCACAGGCTCCGGATGCGCATGCTCAGCGGCCATGGCTCACGGGCCCAGCCGCTCCGTGGCACGCGGGATCCTCCCGGACCGGGGCACGAACCCGTGTCCCCTGCATCGGCAGGCGGACTCTCAACCACTGCGCCACCAGGGAAGCCCTAAACGTGAATTTTATTGTATGTCAATCACACCTCAGTAGAACTGTACAAAGTATTGAATAGTTTAGGGCTGTGGAAGGGGTCGTGAAAGTCACAGACCCTGAAGCTTGAGCTTCAGTAGCGTCTCTAGTCTTCTGCTCGTCGTTTGCATTTTTCTGTGGTACCAAGAACAATCCTCTAAATGTGGAATTAGAGCCGTCGGATTGCTCCACGAAGGCGATGACTTGGGGATGTCGCCTAGTTCTGTGCAGGGCCGTCGGTCTCCGAGGCTTGGAGACTGGAGACGACCTGCCAATTCTGGTTTGGGGACACAGAGTATCTTGAAGACACCTGGGGCCCAATGACAACTTTTTTTAATCCAGAATTTTAATCCAGAATTTCCGCAGCCAGTGAAAGGTTCCTGCCTCTTTAAACGGGTAATAATGAGTAAAGTGGCAGTAGGACCGCCTATCGGTCTCAGGTGCGCGCGCACCCGCAAAGACCCCCCCCCCCCCCCCCGCCCAAGAGGCGTAGTACTTCCCAGAAGTTCTCTGCGGCTTGATTTGTCCCTATCGGCGACTCGTAGAAAACCTTGGGCTTGATAACAGCGCCGCTCCTGATTGGCCGCTTGCCGCGTGCTTGGTCTTCCTTGGAGTCTGCGCCGGGCGACTCGGCCGGTAGTGGCGATGTCCGGCCGGTCCAAGCGGGAGTCCCGTGGATCCACCCGCGGGAAGCGCGAGTCCGAGTCGCGGAGCAGCTCGGCTCGTGTCAGACGGGAGCGAGATCGGGAGCGGGAGACAGAGGCTCCGAGCTCCCGGGGCAGTCCGGTGCGCGTGAAGCGGGAGGTCGAGCCGGCGAGCGCGCGCGAGGCCCTGGCGCCCGTGATCCCGGCGGTGCGGGTGAAGCGGGAGCGCGAGGCCGACGAGGACTCGGAGCCTGAGCGGGAGGTGCGAGGTGCGCGGGGCCGGGCGCGGGTTCCACTGTCGCGTTCTTCTTTTTCTTTTTCCAACCTTCTCTCCCCACGGGGAAGTCACACTCCACTCGCGACCCGACTCCGTTTTAATGAGGATAGTGCTAGTCTTGATCAGGATCGTAGCTATAGCGTTTCTAACAGTAATAAAAACAGGTAGCTTTCCTTTATCGGATGTCTAATGCGGGCCAGGCGCTGTGCTAATTGTTTTACAGGTGTCCCTTCTTTTTAGTTTTTTACAAAATACCTGAGGAGTGAGTCTTGCTGTAATTTCTGAGTGGAGGGCCTGAACGCTGTGCACTTGGACCACACTGCCCTGTTATCCAGGGCTGTAGCAGCCAGGAGATATGGATTCTAGTCCTGCCTCTGAGACTGAGTCACGGTGGTTTGGGAAAGTGATTTTCACGTGTCTGTCCCTCTCTAGGTTAACGGAAGGAGTCCTGGAACCCATGACCTTTGAGAGCCCTAATAAGCCAGTGAGTCTGTCAGTTCCCATCTATGACTGTACCCTCTGCCTTTTTCTGCTGGACTCGTTCTGCTTCTCTTAGTAATTTCTGGAGACTTCTTGGCCAAGCCATGGTACTCTGTAGTGTGTACACTCTTTTCCAACTTGTTGATATCTTACCAATCATTAAGTAGGTTTCTATCATTTCTGAAGCTTTTCCTGTTTACCTCAATTACATCTTTTCCTTCTCTGAACTTGGAACTTCTGCATTGAACATATTCCTATGTACTTGTTTTCTGGTGAGTTAGCAGGTGAACATATCACAAGGCTACATGTTAGGGGCAGTGTTCATGGGGGGGGGGTGGTCTTCATTCTCCAGGATTTTATAATTCAGTCTCTGCACCTGGTTATTAATATAAAATTATACTCTTATGTTAACTCTTAAATTTCTAGCTCAGAATCCTGTGTTTGACATATTTTTATATTACCCTCAGGGTCCAGATTAGCACCTTGCTCGTGGAAAGTGCTTGATAAATGTTCTTTGAATAATCTAGTTAATAATTTCAGGGTATTCTTTGATTTCCTTTACTTAAATATTCTGTCAGCCTCATGTTTCCCTTTCTTTGGAAGAGAAATTGTTTCTTAGATATTTTGTATACTTACGGTAAGGAGATTGTTTTCTCTGGGACACACTAGGATCCCAGTTGAGGTTACTGCTGTTTTCTTTTTTCCCTTTTATTTTTTTCATGAAATAGATTATAGGTACTAAGATGAGCTAAATGTCAAGCACATGTATAGTTTAAAGAAGAGTGTGGATATATATCCTTAAATCTACCACTTGTCAAGAATTGTGAAGGGTCTGAGATTTTACCCTTTTTGTACACTACCAAGTTAGCCTGCCGTGGTTTCATGGATGCTGATGGAAGACATGGAGCTATTGGGCTTGAGACAGCTTATTGCAGCAATAACAGTAGCCAGAATATAGCATTGTCACTTCCCTGAGTCAGTTCCCACAGTGCAACACGATGAGAACCCATACACACAGTGGGTGGCCTCACAGGACAAGAACTCTAAGCTTAGACAACCCAAATCTTCTATAATGGGCTGTGAGCTTGCCTCCCCTTTGCTCTGTAGGGACACACTGTCTCCTACTTCCAAAGCTATAGAAACAAACTTCACTGTACAAACAACTTTGACAAGATAGTCTGGAGGCAGTCAGTGCCTCTGGTCACAATATGTGCAGAAGTTCGAGAGACCCATGGAGAGTTGCCTCCCGATGCTGTTCAGCTTAAGAAGTGGTACTTAACCAGTACCTTAGAAGCTCCCATAGGCCCCTTCCCAGTTGCATCTGCCTTCCTTGCTTGCTTGGGTAATCACTGAATTTTTTCTAATCATTTCTATTTTTATTATTTTATTATTTACAGTTTTACCTCACATATACATCCCTGAGTAGAACTGTATTTTATTTTGTATTTGTTATAAATGGAATCATACTATATGTTGTCTTCTGTTTTGCCTTTTTTTTTTTTTTCCGCTAGCCATATTGTTGACGTTTATCCGGCAACACAGTGTTCTATTGATGATATACCAAAATGTATTCCTTCCATTTTTATATGTTGTAGACATTTGGGTTGTTTCCAGTTTGGTCTCTTTCAAATATTGCTGCTATAAATATTCTTTAGTAAAGCATTCCTGATGGCACATGTGCAAAAGTTCTCTAGGGTATGTAAGTAGAAGAGAGATTGCTGGGCCAAAAGGTCTGTGTATTTTCAGCTTTGATCTTGCTGTACTATTTTCTAAGAGGTTGTAACAGTTTATACTCCCACCAGCAGTTACATGAGCATTCTCACTGTTCTTCATATTTGCCAACACTTGGAATTGCCTGATTTTATTTTTTCCTCTCTGGTAGGTGTGAAGTGGTATATCATTGTGCAAGGAAATTTGCATGTTCTTGATTACTGGTGAGGTTGAGCATCTTTTCTTTCTGGCCATGCTGTGAAGCTTGCAGGATCTTAGTTCCCCAACCAGGGACGAACCCCAGCCCCCTGCAGTGGAAGCACAAGAGTCCTAACCATTGGACAGCCAGGGAATTCCCAGCATTTTTTCATAAGTTTGAGGGCTGTCTTCCTCATTTCCTTTTGGGTTGTCTTTTTTTTTTTTTTTTTTTTTTTTAAATCTCCACCAGATTTCTTTATGTAATTGCAAGCAATTCCTTTGTTGGTTATATGTGTTTCAAGAATATCCTCTCAGTTTGTGGCCTGTTCCATTAAGTGGGCTTCTTTGGTGTTGTCAGGCTGCCTGTACAGGAGCTCATCCTGATTAATTTTTCCCATTTTTGTGTTTGTTTGTACTGGTAGTTGACCCTGAGTGTGGGTTTCCCATTTTCAGAGCTTTTGATGCTTTTCCTTTCAGCAAAAAATGGCCGCATGGATTCTGAGGATCGGAGGAGCCGCCACTGCCCCTACCTGGACACCATTAAC